ATCATATTTCATGTAATTGACCCATATAGATAAGCTTATGTATGCATCCTATTTTGAGAAAATACAATTATTGCAAATATTTTAACTAATATAATTTTAACTATAGCTGCCAATACCTCACTACTGTGCCTTGTGACCTATTCCTCAGATTAGTGTGTTTAATATGTACATGTTAAAACACTGCGGTGTGTTTTTTTAAAGGCTACGAGCAGAGTTGATGTTACTAATTAATGTTGTGGTCTAAAACATTTTAAGAAATGTAGTTAAATATAATCAAAATAATCAAATTTAATAAACTTGTTTGTTTCCTATCAGTTTTAAATCTGTCTCTGTAGCACATGCAGACCTTTCACAATAAGTGTTAAAATTTGAAACTACATATTCTAGTCGACTAAAACATATTAATTTAACGAAACAAACTAAAATCCATTTTGRTCAAAGACTAAATCTAAATTCTAATTTGTTGTCAGAAGGAACAGAAGCTCACAGTTTACCTCGTTCAGAGCACACATTCTGGTGATGGAGCCGATGTTATTGGTGATGGTGACCAGCGTSGCCCGGGCAAGATCCTCTTTGGACACAGACTCCCTTTTTTCTTTGCACATCATGTTGCCAAAACTATCAAAAAACAACAAGATTTATATTCATCATGGCTCTTATTTTTAAGACAATTCATGATTCTAAGCTGCAGAATTATTATATACATTTATAGCAAAYGTTGACGAAAGACTGGTTTAAGTAAATGTGGAAATGAATTTGGCCAATTCATATAAGTTTTACTCAAATGTTGTTTTTTATAAACGCTTAGCTTATAGTTTGCAAAAAGGTATTCCCTCCCCCGGAATAAAAGTGACCACCACGCTGCTTCACTGCAGCGGTTTATGCTGGAATCCATCTTAAACAGGCTTGTAAGTCACAGTAAGAAGAACAGAAACAGCTGTAAACCGCACCTTGAGGCCACAGCCCAGCCCGGCAGACCAAACCTCTCATAGTCGCCTCCGTAGATGTCCCGAACCAGCTTGTCCACACGGGTGCTCTCCCCCTGAGAAGCTATTTCTAGGGCTTCTTCGAAAGTGGAGCAGCCAGTCAGCAGGCAACACAGGCCAAGGAAGGTCCCACCACCCAGGCTGTCAACACACACGGATATCAAAAGATTGAAAATCAACCGTTCAGTTTCAGGTCACCAATTATAAGAGTCTGTCCTAAAAATGAGTCACTAAAATTATTAACTTTTGTAATTACCAGTGGCCTATCCTAATGAGGGAAAACAGAGGATCTGTGAGAACAAAGATCAATGAACTATAGTGATGGCTGACACGTGAAATGAGTGAAAATATATACTGTATATATACGCATAAAGTGGAGGCATTTTAAATTTAGTATTTTAATTATTTTTCATAAATGTTATGAACTTGTTTTATGAATTTTTATAGGTTTTTAGAGTTGTGCTTGATGTGCTGTTTTGTATATTACATGTCTAATGAGCCAAAGACAATTTTCCACTA